TAGTAGAAATAATTGGGTTTCTTGAACCGACTTTGGCCATTAGCTCTGATACCAAGTAAAAATTGAGAGCTGATTATTACTGGAAGAAAAGCTTACTTACCATATTATTCACGGTGGTATATATACAGCTTATGACTGATGATTTATTACAACAAAATAGAGAAGAATATAATACATCACCCTACTAGAATGTGAAAAGTGTCTAACTGATTATATTCCAATCTCCATAAATTCAGGAAAGTAATTCTAGCCCTAAATGTATTGTTATGTCTGTGGTCCAATCCTAACATGCTTAGTGTTTCGAGATTGGTCAAACTATGGTGTGCTGGGTAAGTTTTCCTTTTGTTTGCGTGGTTCCAGAACATTCACTTCGTCTACTTTTTCTGCTTATTTTTACATCCCAAAAGCCTTTCTTTCTATGTATGCATTTCTTTATAAGAAATGTTAAAAATTTGTTAATGGGATAATTTGTTACACAATTGGAGAATTAGCTGTCATCGTCTTTCTTTCTAGATCTGTTTTTCTTCCCAAGCAATATTTTTTTTGTTCGTAAGTTATTACTTTGACTTTAAATCTACACACTTTCTTCTTTCCACTTTCGTTCAACTACATATTCCACTTCCATGGTGGAGACTGGCATTTTGATGTACTGTCACCTTACCACCAAATCTACGCACTTTCCTCTTTCCGCTTTCCTTTGAATTCCGAATTTGACTTCTTATTTAGGCTGTCGATTTTACCTGTATTTATCAAGAACCCCACTTGCAGAGACAGCGATACTAACGACCAACCAAAACAAATTCATAGTTTGGTTGGCAAGTCTTTTTCTTTACCTAAAGACAGAGACTGACACCTCAATCGTGAACTTCAGGTTTATACTTTCTTCATATTTTATCTCTATATTTATTTGAAGATTTGTTTTATTTCTTGGTAATTTGGTTTTTTCTTTTTTTGTGTAATTTAGAACTAGACATAATAACTTTTTCTTTGTTTAGGTTAAGGTATTCTATGAGGTATGCTTTGTATACGAATGTTGTAGGATAGGGATAGATTTTGAAAATGCTAGAATGTTATACTCAAGGAAATACTATTAAGTATCTTGGAGTTCCATATGAGGTATGCTGCATTCTTGGGCATTTGCCGTATTCTTTTTCTTCTGTTTTAGGCGAGGGGTTATTGGGAGCGGTGGTGGTGACGACAGGTCAGTAAGGCTTCTACTTGCTCTAAATACAAAGGCCTTACAAAAATATTATATTATGGTTATTGAGAAACGATTAAATTTACTGGTTCTATTTCTTAAATTTTCTCTCTTGTTCAACTTGAACCAAGTTGAGATGATTGAAAAATTCAGTCATTCACTGCTTTTGGATAATTTCAAATGTTCACCTACCACATTTTTGTGTTTTTTTTACATCCCGAAGTTTAGTATTGAACTTCAAATGAGAAATATTATATTTAATTATTGAATACTAGAATGCATATGTAAAATACTGTGATTAATCATCCGATAAATAAGTACACAATAGCACCATTTTTATCATTCAATTGTATTGTTGTTCAAGAACATTATGTGG